GACTGTGCATTTAACCAGGAAGGCCTTTGGATACTGTATAAAAGGATTTGAAGGGACCAAAGCTGAAGCTGAGAAAGAATTACTGAATGGAGCTGTTTAATAAGAAATTATGGAAATTACACACGATCTATGATTACATGACAATGTTAAAACTTTCCAGTAATCAAAAGACAATCAGAGCCACAGTGAAATATAATGTTCTGCTTATCAAATTTGCAAGGCCTGGAAATGACAATGGTATCCCAGAGTGTTTGGGGAAATAGGATATCCAATATAATCAGGTGAGGGGGTGAATTGGCACAACATTTAGAGAAAGCAATTCGTCAAAGTTCATAAACCATTACCATTCACCAGATCTGTATTCATTTTTTATGAATCATTATGCATAAAATCTAAAAAGAGAGTCCTGCTTTCCTTATATCATGTGCAGCAAATGATAAGACAGGTTATATCAATTATGAAATCAAGGAGTTTATGGCAGTCTTTCATAGCCATATTTTTATACAGGTGCTTAGCATTGTAGAAAGAAAGTATAGTGTATATTATGAGTAAAACGGGTGGTAAAAATATCAATTGCATAAAGCCTATTTGCCTCGTGTATGAGAGCTGTATATACAAGCAAAAGATGCGATGCAGAAAAAACATTTACTTGTATGCCCCTTTGGCAGATGCATAGAAAATTGCAATTTCATGTTTGCCTTTTTCCTTAGAAATTTTTGTATGCTAAGCTGCCCAATATTTCTCATCAGAAGCATGTTTTTATATTCATATTCCTGTAATGAATACACAAAGTCCTGTGTTGTAGAGCTATTTTAAAACATCCACCCAATGAAGTCTGATCTTTGGCAGTTCTGTTTCTGAAGTTCTGCAAAGTTTTACATGCAAAACAGAAAGCAATGGTGAGGCATACATGCACAGCAAAAGGCCGATAGAAAATGACAAAAATGCAAATGAAATCACAGGAATAATGAACTTCAGGGAGGATGGTAAGGTATTTTTTAAGCAAAATTTCCCTAAGTTCTTTTCATGAGCTCTAAGGTTATCATCCTATAAGTCTTTTTAAATTAATAATGCTCATGGTGGTTAATGGGCAGTAAAGAGATTGAAATACAAATATTGTATTATTTTGTGTCAGGTACACATTGTATCTTGAATACAAAGATAATTACTGAACTTAAATAAAATATTGAGCCTCAAGATAAGCATTTCTATCTTACATTGTTTAAACTTTAAACTCATTTACACTTTTTATATGTAATATATTATGGTTAATTTTACTATAATTTTTCCTCTTTTTTCATAAGGATGAAGATAATTTCCCATGTTAACCCAGAACTATACACTGAGCTGCTAAGTGTTTGTACCCCCTTGATACTATAAATATCAGGTCACCTATCTATTTAAATGATAAAGGATAACTTTTGAAATTATGCTGTAAAGAGACATCACAGAACAGAACTTTTTGTATGCATTTAAATACTGACAACTTTGGGGGTTATTGATATTATTGTCAAGAGGTTCAATGAAATCTACCTCTTTAATAAACTAAATTCACCTGACAGCTTTTCTGATACTTTACCAAACTTTCACAGAATTTGATAAAAATAGCTAAGAAACTGTAGTCCCACAGGGAACAATTGTTTTCAGGGTTGAAGCTCATATTCCTGTATTGGCATCGCTATATTATTTAAGCTGAGGATCTAGATTCTAATAACCACATAACCAAAAAGATTAAAAGAACAGAAATTTTATATCTTACGAGAGCAGGGTTCAATGTAATGTATCTTAAAATAGAGAAGAAATAAAATCACCCACTACTTAGGATAATGATCAGTTTCTCCCAAAATTTACTAAGAAGAAAAAAAAGGGATAAAAGAGATGAAGGACTTAAATTCTCTTTGAGGATGGCTTGTAATTATTGGGGGTTGTTACATTAGGAAACAAAATTTTGAAAAGACTTATGTTTCTATCTAAATTCTAACCACACCATTAACACACAAATATCTAGGAATGATCTTATTTCTTAGGAAAAACTAACACTTGCATAATTTGTATTATTCTAATCAAAGGTTATCCTAGTCTATGGTGTAAATATGAACCCTTTATTTCTTTCGACTGAAACATAGTGCAATCCTATCTCTTCTTTTGAAGAAATACAGAGTAACAGACACTGTCACATATATTTGATATAGGTGGGAACTAACTGATAAGAGATTTAAATTTATTCCCCAAAAGATTTTGTAAGTAGAATATACCAATTCCAGTTCTCTGGTGAAGCATGGTCCTATCTAACAATCGGGATGAATGGATTAGAAATTCAAAACTCGCATTCTTTTTTTGTGGAGTTTTTCAGATTGAAGGATAAGATCAATCGGAAACTAGAATGCCGTTTCCAAAAAAGATTGGCCAAGGGAAGCTCTCCTCTGAACAAAAAAGCTTGAGTAATTTTTCTTTATTAGATGAATGCTGTATTCCAGACTTTGGACAAATTCTAGTCTTACATTTAATATAAATTTACCAATGCATTGAAAAAAATATGTTTGCGAAGGATATTTCCCCCAACTATAATGTGGGGGGATTATTGTGCCGATGCTTTGAACATGGCCGACCCAGGTTCAATCCCCAGCATCCCATATAGTTTTCCGAGCACCACCATGAGTAACTCCTGAGTGCAGAGCCAAGAGGAACCCCTGAGAATCTCTGGATTTGACCCCCCCAAAGGCTATTATTGTATATTAGCTAGTATTGTACCCTCTAATTATAACAACTATTATTATATAACAAGGAACGCACAATTAAATTTTGGAACTCTAAATCTTAGAACAATTTTCTCATGCCTATAGATTGAATAACTATATAAAAGTACATTTGTAAAGAAAGATTTCCTTTGTACTTGGGGGGGTCTTTTTCTTTAAATGCTTTGTTAGAATATTGATATCTTGTGAAAAAGTTGCAAATACAATTCTTTCATAGATGAAAAGAACTGCCAAATAAACCAAATCTTGTGTTTCCTTTTGCTTGGCAATAATCAATGTAAGTCATGCCCGATTTAACACCTCTGAAAAAAAGAATTGTAGAATACTCCTATTCAACAGGAGTCAATTCTGGTTCTCCTAAACTCAATTCTCCTGCTGAACAGTTCTCTCAGGATTTTATTAGGTTGCCTAAAATAACACATTCTTTATTTGTTCAAAGTACTATTTCATTTTAATATTCACTCAATGAAAGCTTGATTCTGACCTCCAACAAGTTCTCAGACACTGTGTCCATACATAACTAGTTCCTTTAGTAACCTAAGTGTCAGGTAACACTGTCATTCTAAAACTCAGTTAGCTGTATAAGAACCATGATCTAGAAAACCAACCAATCTAGCCATAGTCACTCATTGACTTTCTATCATTGAGAGATGATATAATTAAGAAGAAAATGAGCCCAGGACCAAAGTATACATACATGTGGTAACTTAAGGCTACCACTCTAATGATATAAAAGTAGGGAAATAACTTTGAACAAAGTGGTGTGGGGCTAGTTAAATCTGACACCTATTTAGAGTTATCATGCCTTGCTTTAAGTGTGAACATAGCACAGACAAGCAGATATTTTTAATGCATTCCGCATGATTCAGCATGAAGTAGAAAAGTTTTAGAAACAGATGTGTGCAGGCAAGTGATGGTGAACTAAATGACCAGAATGACATCAAAGCCACATGTTATTTCTTTGTTCTACCAAAGTAAACTAGACTATATATAAATTATTTATATTACAATAACAAATTATTGATTTTCTTCTTGTGGGTCTATAGAGTGCCAAAAGAATTTTTATGAACCGAAATTTTACTGGTTATATTTCCATCTTCCTATAACTTCCCAAAAATCTTTAAAGAAACATATCAAATATGAAATGGCACAAGCCTGCTTATTTGATGGTAAGTACACATATATATTATTTATTATTATTATATTATCATTTGAGGCCACACACAGCAATGCTCAGAAGACATTCATGACTCTTTGCTCAGGATTGACCCTGGTGAGGCTCAGGGGACCATATATTCTGCTGGGACTGAATCTGTGTTGACTGCATACAAGGCAGGTGCCAAATGCCCTGTCTGGCCTTGATCAATATATTTAAATTGAACAAAAAAAATTTAATACACTTAACAGCTCCCCGGGACGTATTCGATATGCCAAACACAGTAACAACAAAGTCTCCAATGGAGATGTTACTGGGCCCGCTCGAGCAAATCGATGATCAACGGGAGGGAAATTTTTAACAGTTAAGTAATCTGTCATTCTGCCATGCCTTTCTTACATGTAAAATAAACATATCTGTGAAACCAAGCTAACCGTCATAAAAAATTCAAAATCACTGTTTTGGCCTGAACATGTAATTTTATTTTATCTAAATTATTCCAGCTGAGGGGCCAGAGATTATTAGCTCAAGATAACATGAAGACAGAAAATTCTATTTCAAATTATAAACCAAATGACATTACAAGTAATAAGTAGTAATTAGCTGATTGGTTCTATATTTCAGAGTTGTATTTGTTTGAACTCAACCTTTTATATTTTACTGTATTTTAATTCTTTTTTTATTTTTGGGTCACACCTGACGATGCTCAGGGGTTATTCCTGGCTCTGCACTCAGGAATCACTCATGATGGTGCTCAGGGGACCATATGGGATGCTGGGAATTGAACCAGGGTTGGCTGTGTGCAAGGCAAACACCCTACCCACTGAACTATCATTCTATACCCCTTTTAGCATATTTTAAAATGAATTTTGATGCTGTGATACACAATATTGTTAATGATAGTTTCCTTTTGCACATAAATCCATCACCCGTGTACCCAACCTCCCTTCCTCAAGAACCCCAATGCCCTTCCCTTTAACCCCACCCCCAACACAATTGAGTGGATCAGTTACTCAGTGTGTTGCCTTTAGTGGACCACTACAATAGCCTCTGAGTGTGAAGTTTGAAATTACCCTTCATCTACATACTGGGAATTTGCTGGATCCTGTGGACAACAACAAATGCATCAGACAGCCCCACCTTCACTGGATGATTCGTCGAACTTATCTGTGTGACCAAAATAGGAATCTGAAAAAGAAAAAGCATATTTCTATGTGTTAGATTTGAATTTGAATTTCAATGAGGGATGAACATCATATATATGTACATATATATATATATATCACTGTCACTGTCCTCATATATATACACACAAACACATATGTAAAGCAGCAATGGTGCTGCTGGGAAGTATTGAGGTACTGGGGATGTAACCCAGGGCTTTCCACTTGAGTTCCATAACTTGAGGCACATCACTGGCCCCTACCATCTTATTTAATTTATAAATCAGAAGAGGAAGGAAGGCAGGCAGGCAGGCAGGCAAGCAGGCAGGAAGGAAGGAAGGAAGGAAGGAAGGAAGGAAGGAAGGAAGGAAGGAAGGAAGGAAGGAAAGAAGAGAAGGAGGAAGGGAAGGGAGGAAGGAAAGGAAGAGAGAGGAAGGAAAGAAGGAAGGTTGGGAGGGAAGGGGAGGGAGAAAAGAAGGAATGAAGGAAGGAAGGAAGGAAGGAAGGAAGGAAAGGTTGGGAGGGGAGGGAGAAAAGAAGGAAGGAAGGAAGGAAGGAAGGAAGGAAGGAAGGAAGGAAGGAAGGGAAGGAGGGAGGAATGAGGGAGGAAGAAAAGAAGGAAAGGAGGGAGAGAGGAAGGGAGGAAGGAAGGTGGGGACGAAGGAAGGAAGGAAGGGAGGGAGGGAGGAAGGAAGGGAGGGAGGGAGGAAGGGAGGAAGGAAGGAAGGAAGGAAGGAAGGAAGGAAGGAAGGAAGGAAAGAAGGAAGGAAGGAAAGAAAGAAAGGTTGGGAGGGGAGGGAGAAAAGAAGAAAGGAAGGAAGGAAGGAAAGAAGGAAGGAAGGAAGGAAGGAAGGAAGGAAGGAAGGAAGGAAGGAAGGAAGGAAGGAAGGGAAGGAGGGATGAGGGAGGAAGGAAAGAAGGAAAGGAGGGAGGGAGGAAGGGAGGAAGGGAGGAAGGAAGGTGGGGACGAAGGAAGGAAGGAAGGGAGGGAGGGAGGGAAAGAAGGGAGGGAGGGAGAGAAGAAGGGAGGAAGGAAGGAAGGAAGGAAGGAAGGAAGGAAGGAAGGAAGGAAGGAAGGGAGGGAGGGAGGGAGGGAGGGAGGGAGGGTGAGAGGAAGAAAATACCTGAAAATGAAGTGCTATTTGATGGATTAAGTGACAAGAGGATTTCTGGTCTTCAGAGAGAGATTTGATAATAAAGAAATAGTTTTTCATATTAGAGAACTCATAGATGCTGAAAATTTTATATTTATCGTTTCATATAGGCATACCAAGCCTGCATTTCTTGGGGGCTATACTTTCAAAAAAGAAATGCTCTGTAATATTTATACTCCTAAGATATTTTATTATATATTTATTTTAAGCTTTTCAAAGCCTTATTTATGAACGACATTACAGATATAAAACTTAACGACAAAATTATATGGCTAAATACATATTTAACAATGGCATCATTGACTCATATGTAGTAAAATATGACCATTGTTAATAGATATTTAACTTTGTTGTGGTGGCTAGAAAACTTATAGAGGAAAATTTATAAATTATTGCAGATTATCTCAAGGTCATGCTCCACAAATTTGAACCTCAACTGGATTCAAACCTGAATATGAGATATTTCTAATGTTTAAAATTTTAAGATATTAGGCCACATTGAGCCTAAATTAATAGTTACCAATTAGAAACTCAGAGATTTCTTAGATTTAAAAAAGTCACTGGAGATATATGAGTACTCCTTCTATTACCAACTTAGCAGAAATAAAAATGAGAATGAAACCATTTTCAATAAATAAAGGGTAGCAAAACATAAAAAGAAGAATAAATGCACTGACATATCTTTTAGTAGAACAAACAGATTGTGGGCCAGCTGTGGGCAATTCATTAAGGAGCATATTCAATCACACATTATTCAATAAACCATTTATAAGCAGCAAGCATAGCAATAAGGAAGAAGGAAAATAAGTCAGAGGGAAGTCAAAATAATGGTTATGCTGCTTATTTTTGTCTATAAAATCATAAAACTGGAAGACGGCAACATGTTGAAATTGATCACTTCAGAGGATCAATTTTAAAGTTTTGAAATCTGTGAAACTATCTTGAAAAATTATGGACTACAACCATGCTTGCTTAAATGTGTGATATCAACTACCAATTATGGACTGAGCCTGTTCTCAGATTAAAAGGGTAAACACCACTAGTTTAAACAATGTTAAGGTGCTTGTAATTTCATATTAATATATCCACTTATTAATATGCATTAAAATATTATGGGGTTTGTTTCCCTCTCCCTCCCCCCAACCCCCATCAGGGGCCTCCCAACCAGTGCTCAGGGAGTCTCACAGAATGCTACTTCCTGCAGTATTCCATGAGACCAAATGGTTAAATGTTTGAACCAGCACTTGGGGATTTCCAGAGCCGAACTCTACATGCACTGAATGTTCAACTCTGATATGTTTTACTTAGTGACTGCTAAGACATATTCATCATCATTGCATGTTCCATGCTGAAGAGGACTCATATCATGGACAGTTAAGGCAGGCTTCAGTGAAAGGATGGGAAAACACCAAAAACCCCAAATCAAGTTTCATTTTATTTATCATAATATGAAAAAGTCATACTATTTTTTAAATAAAATTTTAAATAAAATGTCTGCCTAGGAGCAAGTATCAAAGAGCTTTGCTCTTTGCACTTCTTTCTTGCTTTCAGTCCGCAGCATTTATGATAGCATTTTCCCTCTGCAAGGTGTGCAATTCTATGGTAACTGACTTCAATTCCTCTGTTCCCGAAGCAGAATTTGAATTCACATTGCTATCAACCGGAAAATCCCATTGTGTTATAAATTTTATATTCTTATGTGAGAACTTGTTTTTTAGCTCACAAGTCTTGGTTACTGAAGAGCTTGTACGTATGCTAGCTTTCTCCTCTCTATGCTTTAAATCATCCTTAACTCTTCCTTGATTTGCCATCTTTTAACTCTGATCTAAGTGATTTTTTTCTTTCCTTCCCTTTACTCTTTTTATTTCATACTGTAGGTCTTGTATACTCCTGAGCTCTTCTTTTGTGGTCTCAATCAATGGCCTTTTTGTATCCACACCCTTAGGCTTTTACTTTTCCATCTTCTTGCTCAGAATGTGGGCCCAGTAGCACTGAGAGAGAATAGTACAAAGCTGAAGCAAAAGAAGGTTTGAAAAGACATTTGTACACATGCACCTCCCTCCTGGACTCTTGCCACTGACATGAAAATGTATTCCCTTGGTTTGATGAAGATATTCAGGAGACAGGTAGTGGGATCTTTTCTTCCCAGTACAGATCATGCTGGACTAGAGCGATAGCATAGTGGGTAGGGCATTTGCCTTGCACGCGGCTGACCTGGGTTCGATTCCTCCGTCCCTCTTGGAGAGCCCGGTAAGCTACCAAGAGTATCCCTCCTGCACAGCAGAGTGTGACAAGTTCCCCGTGGCATATTCGATATGCCAACACAGTAACAGGTCTCACACTGGAGACGTTACTGGTGCCTACTTGAACAAATCTATGAACAACGAGATGACAGTCAGACAGACAGGCAGATCCTGCTTTAAAGTAATTAGCTCTGAACAAGCTTACCATCTAATAGTTTATGCCAGAGTGAGTGAGTCCAGGTAAGCCCAGAAAAGTCAAGCACAGAGCAAGAGAACCAGAAAGCTGATCCACATGCATCTTGGAGGAAATAAATGGGACTGCTGGAAGCAGCTACAATCTGGTGGTTTGTTATATTGTAATGCTAGCTAGTAAGTTCCTATTAGTTCTAGAAACTTTAGTGCAGGATTCTTTGGGTGTTTCTGCTTTAAGTTTCTGGGACTGAGATAACTATATCTCTGCTTTGAGGGCCAATGAAACTTGAGTAGAGGGCCAAGGATATATATAGCTCACAGGGAAAGCACTGGCCTTACATGTGTGACGCTGAATTCAATCCTCAACACTGCAATTATTTGAAACAACAACAACAAACAAAGAACTTGTTAAGCATAAGAGAATTTTTTTGTTGTTTTATTTTTCCCCCTCACTTTTTATGTCTCTGTAGTCTCCATCTTACTCTATCAAGCCATGGAATGAAACAATAGAGAGAGTTGGGAAAAAAGGAAGGTCAACATGCCTTGGGTGCAGTAAGGGCAGGAGAAAGGAGGAATGATTCCTTTCTGGGCAGCAGTGTTGCATCACATGAAGAGATTGTTCTCTTGCAGCGAGTAAGAATGACATCTTTATGGCAGAGCAGAACATGGGCAGTTTTAGAGTACTGGAATGTCCAGATATGAAGACATGTGACAGAGAGGTGGCACACTGTTGAGCCCGGTTAGTGCCTCAGCACCACAAACAGTTCCCAGCAGCATCAGGAATAACTTCTGAGCACAGAGTCAGGTGAAGCCCACTCTCCCCTGCCTCCGGAAGCCAACAACAAAAACAGAGATGGAGAAGATTAAGAGAAAAAAGGTTGAAATAGGTATTTTTATGGTCATAGCCCTGGCATAAGATACCTTTAGGATTTGAACTCTTTAAAAGGTACATGATGAAGAGCCCAGGTGTTCTGTGTTATTTTGTTCTGTTCAATGATTAAAGTGAAATTGAATAAGGAGATCTCGATTCTCTACATTTTCCAGGCAAACCACTCAAGTCTTTGGTTGAAATGACCACATACTGAGTCAGAAAAACTGCTTCCACCCAATGAATTAAACACCTGGTTCTGTAAAAGATTCATGAGAAAATTATGAGAAATTAGTTTTCTGTGAGTATTTTTACTTTCCTGGAAACACTTTTGCCTCTCTCCATCTGCCATCATCACAGCTTTTCATCTGCTTTCTTGAGCCATCCACTCTTTCTAGTTGGTAAAATCAAGGATGTGGGATTGTTATGTGAAAAGGTCCTTTGTCCACTCTCTGACTGCAACCAAGGACTGGAGCTGTGGGAGCTCTCTGTGGCCCACAGACCATTCTGGGGGCTGCCATGTTGGTATGAAGCAGTGAATGTTAAGATGGATTAGGAGTACTGGGGA